TCTAACCTTACTCCCTTCCCCAAGTCCATGCGACTAACTTACCTGCTCTTCCTCCAGACAAATCCGATGCCGAGCTCCAACAACGCAAGAACGAGCTCTCCTCTCTCATCACAGAAGTCCTCCGCCGCCTCCCGTTCCTATGCTACTTCCAGGGCTACCACGACGTCTGCCAGGTCTTCCTCCTGGTCCTAGACCCCCCTCTACGAGCCCAGCTCGTCGCCCGCCTCTCGGTCCTCAGGATCCGAGACTTCATGTTGCCCACCTTGGGGCCTACCACCTCGCAACTCCAGCTCCTCCCGGACATCATCGCGCACGCCGACCCGAAACTCCGCCGCCACCTCGACGGCGTCGAGCCCTTCTACGCCCTCTCGGGCACCCTGACCATGTACGCCCATAACATCGAGGCCTACCACGACATCGCCCGCCTCTTCGACGTCCTCATCGCCCGCGAGCCCGTCTTTAGCATCTACGTGTTCGCCCAGACCGTCCTGGACCGCCGCGACGAGATATTCGAGATCGACGAGGCCGACATGCTCCACGTCATCCTCGGCAAGCTGCCCCGGAACCTGGACCTCGACGGCCTCATCGCCGACTCCATCGCGCTCTTCCAGCGCCACCCGCCCGAATCGCTACGATCGTGGAGGCACATCTCCAGCGCCAGCGCGCTCAAGACGGCGAGGGACGTGGAGGCGTCGACGGGCCAGACCCTGGAGGACGGGGAGGTCTGGTTCCAGAAGCAGGTCAAGGAGCTCCAGTGGCTGGAGCTGCAGAACAAGGCCAAGGTCTTCCTATGGAGATACAGACGGGTAGCCACCACGTTCGGTATGGCCGTGGCCGTGGGCGCCCTGGCCATCTACCTCCGCCGCAACCCGTCAGCCATTCATCGCACGATGGGTCTATTCGGCATCACGACACACCTACAATAAAAGCCATGTTTTTTGTTCATTTTTGTTTTGTTTTGCGCACAAGTCACATATTTAACCAAGGAACCAGGCCCCCTCTTATGCATGTGCTATAACATAAAACTAGAGATATTTTCGTCGCTGTCGAGGGATAAGAAGATTTATAGACTTGAGGAAACCCAATCAATATGTAACATACAAATATTCCACCGAGATGGGAGAAGGGACAAAAAAAGTAGAAAAAGAAACAGAAATATATATCAGCCATGTTGGAACGCCATGCCTACTCCTCTCCAATGCTGCCCGAGACTTTAACAGAAAAATGAGACCAAGAAAATCCAATCCAGTACAGAAAATCAAGCGTCGGCCTGGTGTGCGAGCTTGAGCTTTTCGAAATGATGGCGCTGCTCGATCGCCATCTTCCCACCAATATCCCCCAGAATGGTAAGGACCAGGGAGTAGTTGTTATACAAGAAGCGCGAGCCCTTCCTCTTGTCGCTGCCGTATGTCTGAGCCTGCCGAGTCAAGAATGTCTCGACCTCGGTCCGCAACCTCCGCAGGCTGGAGGCTACCGGCTCTTCATCACCTGCGTCCGTGCTCAGGGCCAGGAATGCTTCCAACAGAGCTCCAAACCGCTGTGTCAACATATGAGGTGCTGCAGTCATTTTCGATGGATCGCTCGAACTCTTGCTTGGCTTCGCGGGAAGAGCATTGGTCAAGCTGCGGACGGATTCGCAATGTCTGTCCATGATAACTTGCAGGCGAGGCCAGAGTAACATATTGGTAGCGTTTATGTAGCCCTCGCCGGCGGGAACCTTTCGACGCTGGAGCTCAAAAGATAACCTCTGGTTCAGTCGAATACAGAGAAGTATACCTATGGCGTCGTATGTGTCGCCAACAAGTGTCTTGGAGAGAGTCCGGCCGAGCTCGAATGTGGGGTCGAATATGTAGTTGAAGTTCTTGGATATTTGAGCGAATGAGAGGGCTGGAGAGAAGAAAGTTGCGAGGAACGTGTATTCAGCTGTGGCGTTATCCATCAAGGCCAGGTTGAAATTGCGAAACGGAACTTCAAGATAATGAGTAGACTGATCCTCTTCTGCGAGGTACGACGAGATGGCAGATGGGTTGTTAGTCTTCAGTATATCGATACGCCGGCCCAGGTTGAAGGCGTCATGGGGGGGCCCAGGTATCCTTGCGGCCGACAGCACATTGGCTCTCCTTGGCGTATCTTCCTGGCCCAGGGCATCATTTTTATCAAGCGAATGCAACTTGATCTTCCCCAAAGCTTTCTCGTAACGGCCAAACTGGTTGAGATAATACCATCGCATGGTATTCATATATGCCAGGGATATTTCGTTCGCCAAAGTCTGATGGTGTTTGTGCAAAAATGTAAACAGATCCTTGAATTTGAGGAAATTTTGCTGTTGGATGATCTGCGCATTGATTTGAGGAGCTCGCAGGGCCCGGATCTGTGCGACGAGGAAATCTCGGATGCGCTCAATTGCCTAGTTTCTGTTTCAGCGGGTGTCTCAATTGATAACGGGCCATGGTACCAAGGAAGCGCTCGTACCTTGAGAATAAGCTTCTCCAGCAGTGGCTTCAGGTCTTCTAGAGCTTTGGGCGGTTGTGAGCCGGTTCGCTTCTGGTGTGCGGTGGCACGGCGATCCAAATCATTCAAGGCTCGGACCCAAGATTCGTCAATATGCCCTGCCGTTATCCTGGTAATTGTCTCCGGTGAGATGCTCAATTCTTCGACAATAGGGGAAAGGGCCTTCTCGACAGCTTGGCGATTATCCAATCTTCGGTTCAGCGCAGCGGATCTCGACTGCAGGGACTCAATGTCGGAAGACACATTGGCGAGGTCGTTACGGAAGCTAGTAAGAAAGGTCTCGACGGAATTTAAGATATCGTCGCAGGCTGTGATGTTTTGATGTAGCTCGTTGAATTGGGTCCTCCGGTTATCATCTAAAAAACCACAACGTTAGCATGTGCGCTTCTCAAGCAAGCAGCTACATAGATACGCACATTCTTCTGCCGAATGCGATCGAATAGAAAGAGCAGAGAATTGAGCCTCCCAATCGCTTTCGCCCTGGCCCTTACGATCTGCCAGTTGCTTTAAAGATAAGCCGCCGAACTCGGGGATAAGGTCCAAGTCCTCCTTTTTCACAAAACTAGGTTCTTGAGGCTGATCGGAGTCATCCTGTATTTCCTCGAGGAGCTTCTCTATGATATCCTCTGGCGAAGGGCCATCGTATACGGTCGACGTCTGGCGTAGTGCGGATCCATTGGGCTTGCGCGAGGAGGAGAGGAGCGACGATGTCGAGTCATTCGATGCCAGGGAAAGCGATGAGCTTCGAGCAGAGCTTCCTGCACGCTGGGAGGTAACATATGGGCTGAGACCGCCGGAGGTCGTTCGTCGTGGCAGTGGTGAATAGGACCTGACGATGGATTGGGGAGTCGAGGACCCTGACGCGTTGGGGGGTGCACCCCCAAATCGATCCAGCCACATGGTGCAGGCAGGGCGGGCTGGCGAAAGAAAAACTCGAAAGAAATTCTATTCAACAAGCGTGTCACATAGTGAGCTAGGAGACGAAGAGGCACGTGGCTGGCAAGCGCATCTACGTAAGGAGTTGTCAGGGTCAAGGACAGCTTGATATTACTCCTACCACGTACGTTAGTACCTACGACTAAGCAATGGGCCATGTAGCGTCACCTATCAATCGCGTGGACAGCTGTCAAGGTATCGGGACAGCGATTGGCCCCAGCGCCCCAAGCACGGGGCAGACAGCGTACTCCAGCGGGCAACACAGCATTAATTGGGTGACAGAAATGAGACATCGAAGTGAAGGCCAGCAATATCTACCTACCTACCTATAATAAAGATAAGTATATAAACTATACATGCCTACAATTATAGTAAGCATTTCTCGAATGTTGAGTACTAGACCTCAATCAACTGGAAACATCAATTACAGGCTGGGAAACATAAGAATATACAATGTTTGAGTGTACTAATTTTAACGTCACCCAACTGAGCTCAGCTCCCGTCCAAGCTACTAATTGCAGATATTACTCTGATGGCCTGTCCAACACTTAGATGGTCTCAAATGCAGCGTCCAGGCGAGACTTTGGATGCTCGTAAGTTTAAATATTTCTTCCGCATTCGTCACACAATTGTTCACTCGTGGGCATGGGCGAATTGGGAATACGGAAAGCTCAAGGTTTGGATATGCAGGTCTTGGGTCACCAACTCGTCATGTCACCACGAACATGAGGATGCACACCCAGGGTCAAGCCAATTGGTCGCTAGCATCGCTGCAGATATTTCAGGGTCCGCCGCATCTGGATATCACCCGGGAAGAAGGGCCCTCTGCAAGCCATTGAGCATTAGGCTCCAATGGGATCGCTAAACCGAGCCAGGCATGGATCTGAGGCGACTTGGCCGCAGACCAGTCCGTTGCAGCAAGCGGGGACAAAACACACCACACAAATCTGTTCCGCATCAGTGAGTAATCCTGTGAACGGGTCGGTGCGGATGCCCTGAAAGACCCTTTCGATATTGATTTGGAAGAGGGCACGCTGGTCGGAGAAATATGCAGCGGATAGATAAGTGACTAGATTATCTCGAAGATAGAGTTATGGAGGTTATGTATGCTTTCCGGAACAAGCAACCTAGGACAAGGGCTTTCTCCAGCACTTCTGTGCAATGCCGCGGCCACCAGGAGCTGTCCCCTCCCCGACAAACTTGGAATAGATTACCGACAGGCAGGTCAGGCAGCAGTGGCAACGGCAGCATCAGCAACAGGCCGTATGGAGCACTGTTATTATTACGGTTGCTTGGTGACAAGCGGCGTCGGACAGTGAAGGGATGGAGGGGCACCAATCACACGGGCGAGAAAAAAATTCGAGACCAGACCAAGCAGGCGCACTTTTACCCTCGCCCCTCCCATGCCACTAAGCATCTCTTTTCTCCCCTCCTCTCCTACCTATTCTATTTCTCTCCCTCCAGCTATCCATCTTTCCCACAACTACCACCCTCATCAACCCCCTTCTTCTTCTTTCTTGTCGACGACTCCGTTCTGTGCGCTATCCATCAAAATGGCTGAAGAGGTAAGCTTGTCTCTCAATTTTGCCTGCCCGCGCACTGCCCGCGCACCCTGACCTGTTCTTTTTTTTGCGCCGTCGCCCTTCCTGGCCACACAAAAAATCACCCCGCATTGTGGCTCGTGCCCCACGACCAGCAGAACACCAAAGGGCAATATTACTGTTATCGAATTGAGCCATCTCGAGCCTCGTCCAATACTTCAAACACTTTTCTGCGACGCGAATAGCAGTCTTCGCGCTTGAATTGTTCCAGTCTTGCGGGGTGCAGAGGCACGATTCCGATGAAGAGAGCCGGCACGCGCACGACCACCCCCTCCAACCGCACCACTTTCCCTCTTGGGCATTCTCGCTCCTCACCTCCCCTGCCCTCTTCATCCCATATGTTCTCAGCCACCACGACACATCTTGTGGAAACTTGTTGCTAACCACCATTCTCATCAGCATGATGTTACCTTCGAGTCCGCCGATGCCGGCGCCTCGCTGACCTACCCCATGCAGTGTTCTGCTCTGCGCAAGAACGGTTTCGTCGTCATCAAGAACCGCCCCTGCAAGATTGTCGACATGTCCACCTCCAAGACTGGAAAGCACGGTCACGCCAAGGTCCACCTCGTCGCTCTCGACATCTTCACTGGCAAGAAGTACGAAGATCTCAGTCCCTCCACCCACAACATGGACGTCCCCAACGTCTCCCGTCGCGAGTACCAGCTTGTAAGTCATTCCAAGCAAACAAGGTTCCCATATTTCAGGAACATGAATCTAATTGGGAGTGCAGCTCGACATCTCCGATGATGGTTTCCTCTCCCTCATGAACGATGATGGTGACACCAAGGATGATGTTCGCATGCCCGACGGTGAAGTTGGCGACAAGATCACCAAGCTTTTCAAGACTGATGAGAAGGACACAAGTATGTAAACCTGGCATCTGTACTACTTTGGAACTCACCACTAACTGTTTGCTCTCTTAGACGTTGTCATTCTCACCTCCATGGGTGAGGAGGCTGCCGTTGAAGCCAAGGAGGCCCCCAAGCAGGGTTAAAAAGTTTTCTTTTAACTCCACATGCCGCCTCCTGCACTCCTGGCTTGTCTATCGTTGCTCATTTGTTGAGCTTTGTCTCGGTGGATTTGAATTTTGATATCTGGAACATTCATCAAGTATCCTTGAGTGGCGGTTTGGTCCGTTGCATGTGAGGATATGATACGGACGAGGATTTATGACTTCTATACACAATGGTCCATGAATATGCCCATGCAACGATGCTGATTTCCTTGTTTTCAATAACGTCGCTGCCATGTCATCCAGGCACACAATGTATTCCCATAAAAATGAAAAGAAAGGAAAAGGAGGGAGAGCTTTGGAGATATGACCATAAAACTCCGGCCCCAGTATTGTGATAGAAAAAAAAGTTATTTTTCGTTTGTCAAATGTTTGTAGCAAATCGTACGTACGCCGAAAAATATCAAATATATACAATCGGAAATCGAGCTACGTTGTTGTTGAATTGATGTCGTCCATGTAAGCCGGCCATCGCAACCCAATTTAGCGCCTACCAAAGGAGGAACCCACCCTGAACAAACATCATTCAGGTTGGGTAGCTGATTGCCAGATGCCGAAACCAGCAAAAGCTTCCACCCTGGCTTGTAAATCAATTCAAAATGATGGCATTGCCGTGCAACCGCGGAATTAAGGGCTTGGTTCACTGAGAAATAGGCCAGTTCTCACTTTTGACTTTGTTTTTGTCAACTAGGTTCACCGCTTCACTCTTAGAGATGCCATCTACTGAAACTTGGATCATCCAGCCTCTTGACCTGAAAATAGCACCTCGATAACAACTATCAACATGGCTGAGCGAACTGAAACACGAAAGCTCCCGCGAGGTGAGCGATGCACGCAGTGCGGAGACCGAAGATACTATCTGGAGAATGGCCTTCGGTTTTGCGCATCCAATGGCCATGAGATCGAGGTGAGTACCGGACTATGTCATGAAGCATTCACGATGAATACCAAAGAAGAGGGTAGCATGCTGAACGTGTATTTAGGGCTTCGTTCAATTTGACATTGGTGAGGAAGAAGACTCTGGTAAGATGGGCATGGTCACAAGAAAAGAGAAGGAACGCAAGGAACGAGAAAGAAAGCACCTCACTGGACTAGCGGGTAAGAGCTTGTTTCTGGAAGCTCTCCAGCTCATTTTGAGGTACCAGCTGTCCTGGATGATCCACGAAAAAGGCTTCAGAGATGAACTTGAAACGGTTGTTCGTGACCTCTGGGATCTCCGAATCCGGGCTTTCTCATCCCTCGTTCCAGATGAGACCGAGGCTCCGGACACATTGGAGGTGTTCAGTTCTCAGCCGCTACCCGACGAAGGAGAAGTTGTCGTAAAATCAAGCGCGACAAATCGGAGTTGGGACGCCGATAGAGGGTCCAACTGGCCCATGCCCAAGATGAGCGATACTTTAGGCTTATGTTACCTCGGTTGTCTTCTTCTCAGGATCCCAATACGTATCGGGGAGATTTTTCAATGGGTTACTAGCAACAACATGCCCTACAATCGAGTAGTAGGTTGGCCACATACTATACCACCTATTATGTGTTAAAGTCTAATAAGCTGCCAGTATTTCAGCCTGCCTCAGGAGATGAAAGACCGAATGCCATCGTTTTTCACCCAAGCGCTGAAATTGCCCTTTCAAACTCCCCTTGTTGGTGGAGAGCTACACCAAACAATTTTACACTTGGTGATGTCCTTTAGCTTCAACTACGAGCTCATATTCCCGGCCCTATCTTACGTGCCGATTTTCGTCCAGCTAGCAAGAAATCTTTCACTACCAGGTTTGTCTTACTTTATTCCATCTTATTCAATTCACTGACATGAAACCCAGCCGAGGTGATTCATGGGGCAAAAGAGCTCTCAAGCGCCCTGAGTTGCACTTTCCAATACCCAATTCGAAAGCAGCGGGTGTTTCCAATAGATCACCCTGAAATCCTTTTGATATCATTGCTGATTATTTCAACAAAACTATGCTTTCCTTTCGATGGCAGCCGCCCCCTTGTCACAGATGGATATACATTTGATTGGGAGCGGTGGTCTCAAGCAAGAGCAAAACAAGAACCGCCAAATCATGAAAAGCACTCAATGACCGAGTACTCGGCTCAGGAAATTGTGTCACTAGACGATGAAGAGCTGGACCAATTCTTCTCGCAGCTTGCAAGCTTAAACGATAGTAAAAGTAAGTCTTGATCCTACTATACTGTGCTTTCGCTCACATTTCATCTCCCTACCTAGTTAAGAATCCGGTTACCAGGTTTTTCCCTGTAGAGAACGTTCCAGAGCTAGAGCCTCCAGTACCAGAAATTGTTCCTCAGGAACTAGATGCGGGCGTGAAGCAGGTCTTATCCGAAGCCATTCAAAAGTCATCCGGTTCAGGCGAAGAGACTACCAACGAGGATGCAGATCTAGGTGTTAATTACGAAGCATTCAATCACCTCGAGGATCTAAATGCGCCTGGAAAAACTCTTTACGAAGCTGCAGGTAAGAATGAGCTCTATTCAATACACAAGACCACTCACTAATGAGCTGGAAAAGCCGAGTTGGGAGGGATGAAAACGGAGACCCTTGTCCGGGCTGTCTACATGCTTGAGCAGCAGGTAATTAAATGGCAAAGGCAGCAACCCAGCCGAAACACATGAGGCCCAATTTGAAAATGGAGTGGCGTCATCTACCAGACGCACTGCCGTTCATACAAGCCAGATGCTATATCTGAGCATCTCCAATTCATAGCTGTTGCTCTGGAAGTACCTATCCTTGTTGTCAGCCACAGAGGTATTCAAGTTAGTACCTCAGGCCGGCCGTCTCCACTTTCTCGGCGATGAGCACTTAGAAGTGGGGCCATCAAACACACTCGTCTAAATTGTGGTAGAAACCACGTGACCTCGTCTCTGACCTAGGGTTTTCTTACATTTCTCAACTTTGCCCCACCAAATCAGCGCGCAGACTGGACATCTCGAACTTCACATCGACAAGGTCTCAAAATTCAGTCAAGAGTAAGTGCGCCCCTAGACGGCATGAAATCGCATGTGTAGATGATTTACTAACCTCTTTAACAGTGCAGATGTAAGCTAGGAATCCGCCGATCCCGAATTTCGAACGAAACCGATCAATTTACTGACTTCGAAAACCAGCTTCGTGAAGACCCTGACGGGCAAGACCATCACCCTTGAGGTCGAGTCCTCCGACACCATTGACAATGTCAAGTCCAAGATTCAGGACAAGGAGGGAATTCCCCCTGACCAACAGCGCCTGATCTTCGCCGGCAAGCAGCTCGAGGATGGCCGCACCCTCTCAGACTACAACATCCAGAAGGTCCGTAACACCAAGAATTGAACCACGACCGGGAAACTCTCGTCGTTCTAGGAACATTGTCGCAATTTGGGATCGCATGCTGACCGATATAACAGGAGTCCACCCTCCACCTGGTCCTCCGTCTCCGTGGTGGTATCATCGAGCCCTCCCTTAAGGCTCTTGCCTCCAAGTTCAACTGCGAGAAGATGATCTGCCGCAAGTGCTACGTATGTTCCATCATAAGCTCCACGACTCAGGCAGATCAGTAGACTGACAAGACTTCATAGGCTCGTCTCCCTCCCCGTGCCACCAACTGCCGTAAGCGAAAGTGCGGTCACACCAACCAGCTCCGACCCAAGAAGAAGCTCAAATAAACGAATCAACCATCTATGTGGCGTCTGGTCTTTCTGGCATTATGGGGTTGGCAAGGAGAGAAGGGTTCCTTTGTTCGCAGATACTGGCTTTGTTTTTACACTAGCACCGGCAGCTTAGGGAATCCATTCTAGATTACGCAGCTGGATCAAACCGTTGGTCCCCCACGTACCGGACGTGACATGCTGCATCGTTGCGTACCCCCACATCACTGTAAGCATTGGCAGAAAGATTTAGAGGTACCATGGCGTTAAAAAGGTCTCTGGTCTGCGGTGCAAACTAGGCAGTAGGCTGCCAATAAAAAATAAGTATCTGAATTTCTGAAAACAAATCTTTCTAAAACTTGCAAGTCCCATACAGTTAAAGCTCTCTTTCAAGCAACCCTCCGAGCTCGCAAGGATATTTGCGCCTTTTTGGTTTCTTGCAATCAGCAAGAAAATCAAAGGATCCGCCTTACACATAGCTATCATTGTAACAAAGTTATGATGATTAAAGATCTTGGTTCATACCCAAACCTAGTAAACATGAAAAAGTCATCGATGTTACCACCAGCAGATCGGGCCCGGCATCAATTCCTCCCAAACCTCTCAGAAGGGCCAGCATAGTATAACTTAGCTATGGCTCTAGGGAGAGGACTCACAACCACACCTCTTTCGTTAAGCCCGTTCCTATAATGTCTATAATCATCTCTATCCTTACATGTCAGGGCCTGATCAAATGACCGCATCCTCATAAACATAAAGCCGACCATTATAAACAATGCAATGCTATCTCGTTTCCTGTTTATCCAACCCACAGATGTTTTCCACTCCCATTCTAAATTTTGGATTAAGTAAGGAAGGATGAAGCAGTTGATTGCACGTAATGATCGTAATCATGCTTTTCTCAACTCGCCATAAGTTAGGGATAATTGACAATACTAGCGCTATTGAATTCATAGCTTTCGTGCCCAATTGCCAACCACATATCTTGGGGATCCCAAATAGCTGAGAGAATCTCTTGGTCAAATGTGATGAAGGTCCTGATATTATGTAAGATTCACAGTTGTCGCGCAAGGCTTGTGATTAGTCATCAGCTCTGACGACAACACCCTGTCCATAGAGCTTGATTGCTTAGCACCAGATCTCAGTAGCAGACAGATCCCGAAATAGATCCTGAGACTCTTCCACTCAGAGAATCATTGCCGCCTCCGAACTCTGAGAGCTCCTTGGTTGATGCTATAGGTGGCTTCCCTTTCTCTACACACAACACTTCGACAAATACCACAACCACAATGTCTAGATCAGGGTATGACGCGGTAGTCGATATCGACGATGAGGTACGCGAACTGATGAGGTGGCCTCGATTTGTGATCGCCATCGAGCGCAACACAGCCATCACCTGCATATACTGACTCACCCTCTCAGGGCGACCTTGGACACACCGATCTTCAAGAGGATCTCGAATTCCACACCTCAAACTTCGACAACACAGCTCCTGGCTCCCGCAAACCCCCTTCCGCCGGCTTGCCCCCTCCAGCCACGGCCTCCTCTTCAGGTTCTTCGAAGCGCTTCTTGTGGTCGATTTCCTTCTACGCACAATTCTTCGATGTCGATACTTCTGCCGTACTGTCCCGCTGCTGGGCTGCGCTCTGGCCCCGCGCCAACTTCCTAGACGTGCTTGAAGGCAACCCCGACCTCTACGGGCCAGTCTGGATTGCCACCACGGTGGTTCTGATTCTCTTCCTCGGAGGCACTGTCAGCCAGTACCTCTCTGAAACAGAAAAGGCCAAGTTCGCATACGACTTTAGGCTTCTCAGTGGTGAGTTTTCGTAAACTACGAGGTGTTCAGCCCACGCTTTTCGTCGAACCATTGGCTAATCTTCCCGCAGGTGCCGCCGGTCTCATCTACGGCTACACTTTGTTCATCCCAATTGGTCTCTTCCTCGCCCTGCGATACTTCGGCAGCGAGCTCGCCAACCTCCTCGAGTGCTGGGCCCTATACGGCTATGCCAACTTGATCTGGATCCCCGTCGCCATCATCAGCTGGTCTCCTATTAGCATTCTGAACTGGGTGTTTGTCGGTGTCGGCTTTGCCGTATCTGTCGCCTTCCTCCTCCGAAACCTGTATCCCGTTCTGAGCGCCACGGACCACCAAGTCAGCAAGGTTCTTCTCATCGTCGTGATTGCGCTCCACGCCGGTCTCACCCTCGCCATCAAGATCCTGTTCTTCGCACACGACAGCCCCGTGGCACAGACCCCGACGACCCCTGGAGGCGGAGACACAACCACTCCCGACCAGGCCGTTGCTAACTCCACCGCCGCCGCCATGTTCTTCTAAACTATCTATCTCTATGGGTGTAAATGGGTTCAGGTGTTTTTTTTCCAATATTTTTCCCACCCCTTTTTTCAGCGGAGTCACTTCCAGGGCATTGATTGTTAGTAGAAAGATAGGCTCAAGATCAAACTGTATGTATGTATTTTGGGGGTTATTTCTTGTTCTTCCTCTTTATTTGTACAATTACCCAAGCTATGCGTCAACAAAGATACGTTTCGCCTCAGGTAGCCCCTTCATAGCAGAATACGCAACGCCACGTCCCGTGCGAGCTGCATCATTCATCTATGTTCAAGACCTCCTCTTGCCCTTGATATACTCCACGGGGCCATTGTGCGCCTGCCAGTCGATCCAGCTCCCCGAGTACTCCCCGACGTTCGTCCACCCGGCGTGCTGCGCCAGGCCGGCGGCCGACCTGGCCCTCACGCCGGCCTTGCAGTAGAACATGAGCTCCGCATCCTTGGCGGGGCGCTCGAACCCGTAGAGGTCGACAAAGTCCTCGTCCGAGATGTGGAAGCTCTGCACGGCGCTAGTGATGGGGATGTTGATGGCGCCGGGGATCTTGCCCGTGGTAAAGAGCTCTTCTGGCTCTCGTACGTCTGATAAAAAGAACTTGTCATTATGCCGAACTAAAGAGGGAGGCGGGGCGGTGCCGTTCACATACCGACAAATATCACGCTGGGCTTGTCGTCCGATGACTCGTTGGCCTTGATCTGGTCCTTGATATCTTGGTGATTCCACTGTCGGCTACCGGGGATGGTGTCGTCGGAGTAAGAGCGCAAGCTGATCTTCGTGGCTGCGGTCGCGCGAGGGATCAGGGGACGTCGCTGGAGGTGGTAGGAGCGATTTGCGGCGGATGCCACCTTCGTGGCGATGGAAGAGGATGCTCGGGGGGCGGCCGGCGCGGCAGCGCGCAGCAAGGCGGTGCTGAGGAATCTTCGAGGTGCGGCCATCGTGAGTTGTAGTATACAAGTCTGGTTCGCGATTGGGTAGGCCGGGAATCTCTGGTCCTGGTGGAATTGTGAGCGGGAGCTATAGGTAGCTCGGAGATGGGTTCCGGGAATAGCAGAATAGAGCCCGATTGACACTCCGGGGTACAGAGGATCGCTCCGGTAACCATCTAGCATTCAACATACCTTCTCGCCTTTGTCTTCTCCCGGTATTGAGAGTAAATTGTCGTGGTAAGCGCGAATCCAGTGGGGTTGAGGCTCAGATATTGTCCCAATGAACTTGGCGATGATGAAATTCGCCGACAGCGGCCCCACTTCTTTTATCTGGCCTGCGGATATGCGAACTTGACTGGTATTCCATCACTCAGCTACCTAGTAGTTTGCAGTTATCTTTGTCTACTTTTGTTATATTCTCAATTTTCCTATTTGTTTGTATATCCAATAGATTGGTACTTTTCTCTCGATCCCAAAAAATCAAGCCCCAATGGTTTTCATCAAGTTTCGGGAGCCTTGCCATTGCGGGGAATGGACTACAACCTACCACCTGCTCTACCCTATGCGGAACACTATGCAAATGTTAGCAGTCATTGTTTGTTCTGCCTTTCTGATCTGGCATGTAAAGAGCATTTCCCCTGATCCCAAGTTTCTAGACTTAGCCCAATGAACATCCATGTTTGCACCATATCCAGACCGGTGTGGCAGGTAGCAGGGTAGGTGCATGTCTAGCTCCTTCCCTCGTACGTATTACGCAGCCTTGATCATTACCAGGCTAAATCATCGAACTGCTCGCGCTTTCCAACAAGAATTTACCCCGATCAAGTATTATCATCAGTTATATTCAAGTTGAGCTGATCTATCCTCTACCATAATGTCCGAGAATATCTCAACCCGGCCGCCAAAATATGTACATCCTAAAATCTCGATGCAGCCATTACAATTAGTTTGGGGGATGCATCATCCTGATCCGCATGGGTCTGTTGGCCATTGATATGGTGGCCTCAAGTCCACTCGATCCGGACACCCCGCTCTCTTTTTTAAGGACACAAACTTGTCAACGCTGGCGTTGCCCAATCTGTGTCATGAATCAGGCTGCGTTCCTTGGACGCGCCTTTTGCTAATGCTATATCAGATGGTCGTTGTTTTCGTCAATAGGACATGCTGTTGCAGGGCCAGACCGGTCCGGCTTTTCTCCTGGTTCGCGTCTACCAACCCCTCCTCTGGAATGTAAGGGGGCAATCATCCTAAAGGAATTTGAGTCAGAAATGAAACTCATGAATTCATTCTCAACGAGTCGGAAACATACCATGGGGAAAATGGTGGCAAACACCTTGATCTCCTCCGACTTGGGAGTCGCATGGTGCTGCCAATCTAATTGAACCGATGCCTTTCCTAGGCAGAGAGCCAGGTTCAGCTGCGCATACAGCTGACCGAGGCAGTAGTGAGGTCCAACACCGAACACGAGGTAGTTCTTGGCGCCCTTCTCCTCAGCATCACCAGAGTAGTAGCGTTCTGGGTCGAAGTAGTCGGGGTTTTCGTACACCTCGGGGTCGTGCAGAGCCATATACGTTGTTGGGATCAGCATGGAGCCTAGATGGACGGCAACGGTCAGCACATTCGACACAAGAGAACATCCCTTGCTCCCACCACAGAAGCAACTTATTCGACTCGAGTACTCACCCTTTGGCACCGTGTAACTATCGGTAATGGGGAATGGCTTCTTGACAACATAAGGAACCATGAGGACGGGGGGTCGGTATCGCAGAAGCTCACGGATCACAGCTCGTGTGTATTTCAGACCCTCGAGCTGCTCCATGGTAAGCTCTGCGTGGATATCGCCGTTGCGGACCTTCATATTCTCCTCGCGGACCTTGTCCAGCACGTCGGGACGTTGCGCCATGATCTGAAACAGCCAGGTAACAGCACTGCTGGTTGCATCCTGTGACGCGAAAAGGAAGGTGAAAACGGTCTGCGCAATCTCGTAGTCGTTGAACATTCGGATCATGGGTTGCGGCTTCTCCAGGTTGGCGGTCGATTCCCCAGTCTCCTCCGCCTCTCGCCATCGCTGGGACTTGATCATAATATCGATCCAGGCGTCCATGATACAGGTAACATCGCCACCAGCGGCCATCCGTACCTTACTCTTCGCCGCGCACTTTGTGAATTCGGTCAATACCATATCAGCAGCCTTCTTTCCATACCAGGCCTTGGAATAAGGAAGGATAATCGGGAAGTTGACTAGCTCGAGGGCTGCAGTAATAAGATAATAGTCGTCGGCAATGTTCTTGATGGCCTCATCCGAGATATAATAACCAACGAAGCTTCGGAGGGAGACGGCGCACATGATCTCGCGGAACTCGGACATGAAGGGGAGAGGGTTGCCGCCATTCTCTTCGGTCAGCCTGGCGAATCGAGCAAAGTAGTCCTTGTATACCTGCTCCTGGCCAGGCAGGTACTTGGCAAGGGCCTTGCGTGTGAAGAGGTTGTTCAGGCCTTTGCGGAACTCGGTATGGGGCTTGCCGTCGAGGAAGACCCAGTTGTCGTGGCCAAGCAGCTTGGGGGCGACATCCACAACCGTCGGTTTGACGTACGAGGGCGAATTGAGAGTCTTTCGGGCTAGGTCTCGGGTCGAAGCAATAACGACGAATCTAAGAAACGGAACTTGGTGTCAGCTTTACTCTCTTTCCCTCAATAAACAACTAGGCGGGTTATTCGAACGCACTTATGGAAAACGGACACACAACTCAAGGGTCCGCTGAGCCACTTGTTGTAATATCCCTCGAACCTAGGGTCCATTGAGTCAAGAAAGGGGCCGATGAAGGGCATCTTCCAAGAGGGACCTGCGATTGAGCCCTTGTTGGCAATATAGCTAACTGTACACAGGGTACGAGATCATTTTGTTAGCTCTCTTCACCTATGGCCAAGAGGTAGGAACAATGAGAAGGTCAATCGATCTCATAGGCTCTGTCCAATCGGGCGAGTTGCCGACCGATCAAGACGAAGGATATCCATGCATACCTTGGTCGTAAATAACACACATAGCGACAGCCGTCAACAAGACTGTCCAGATGTTGGGGGCGGTCAATGTTCCAAAGAGGAACTCCATGTTGGGTGATATAGCCATGCCGGCCATTTTGGTTTGCGCCAACACCGAGGTGAAGGCAGAGGAGGTGGTGTTTGCGTTCATTTGGGGTAGGTTTCGGTCGCAGCAATGGACCCAATCCTGTTTCTCTCTTGACGAGTATCTGTCTGCCGGCAGCTCACCACCTAGCAGGAGAGCTTATCAAGAGTCTACGGGAAGCTGACCATACGGTGAAGAGTAAGGGCGATACTATAAGGCGAGTATGGAGGGGAACGGGCTGTTATAAAGAAGAAGAAATCCGCAAACGAATGTGGAGATGTTAGTAATGGCCCTGAGGCTGGACGCTCTTCGTCGAACTGCCTGCAGTAGGGGTCCAAACCGAATACGCAGGCGGAGGAGATGTTACGATTTCCGGATGCTTGCCGGAGGGACAACAGGGAGAGAAGCACGTTGTGCTGTCGTTGAAAGCCAGGGGGAGGGTGAGAGAGAATTCCGGTAGGAAGAGGAAGAGGAGGAAGAGCGCGTGTAGGGCAGCGTAAAGAGAGATCTGCCGCCTGCCAAAACGGCAAATAGAGATGGAGACGCAGGGTGTGTGAACGGTCCCAGAGATGCTTGTCACACGGGCCAGCCAGCAGGTAAGCGGGGTCCTATCTCGGGAGGGAAGGGGATAGCAGCAATGAAGAGTCCATGAATGGATACAGCCTGCCTGTCAGTGTCATCCCTTGCAGCTCCTCCAGCATTTGACCTGAGGTAAAGAAGTGGTCGTCGACCTCACAACTTACACCGAAGGCATGGGGTTCCCCTGCCTTATTGGGAGGGAGGCTCCGACAGCAGTGGCCGCTACAGCCTGAAGCGGCTTAACGCATCCAAGACACCCGCGCCCCTGTCCACCCTGAACTTACAGTGGGCAGACAGCGCTGGGCGACATGCTTAGCTGCCATGCTAACGCCATCTCCAGGCGCTGTGGCTTTCTAGACCTGGGAAACCCGGCACTAAGGAGCTCCACATATGCAAAAAGCAGACCACTTTCTGATCATCAACGGTAATACAATCTGCCCTAAATGTCCCGACCACGAGGCCAGCCGGGGACTTACTCGAAACGACAGTATCAGAACACGACTCTGCATCTTTGGCGCTTCACGATGCGCTCCCTGCTTGGCTAATGCCAACCCCCACGCCTCTCTGCAAGTCGTTAAGTCGATGAACAGACCAACCTTGCCCGCGTACCATCGGATTTCGTCAATTTCGATATCTTCCCAACACTTTTTATCCCAAACTCTGCGACGGCGCCAGATCCCGGGGGGGATTTAAGTGTGGAGGGGTGCTACCAGGGTACCGCCGCCACCCATCTCAAGATCACCCCATTTTCCAGATTATTCTGGCACTAAGAGCATGGTGAACCTTGTCCGGGCTGTTTGTCTCGGAACCAAAGATTTCAACAATCATCCCAACTCGGATCCAGGCAGAGCAGAAGCGAAGGCGATGAATTAAGGAGGGAAAGAGAGAGAGGAGCAATTTTTCTGGATTTTTTCCCGTCGATTTCTACGCTCTTGGTGGAAATCTAGCCCAGCTACCTGGTTGCTGGGAACTTGGCTTGTCTTACACAACCATCTCATTCGAGGTCATGTGCAGCCATTCCCGCGACCGAGTGCGCTACGGACGAAAAAAGCATTTTTTGAAGGTACTATGTAGCACTATCGTATTCGCTGACTGGGTTTCTGTAGGTCTAGGCCCTTGCAATATATGATCCTTTTACCATGTGTTTATTTGGCCGTTGAAGGAACGGGGGTCTTCAGGGTTTTCCTTTTTCTTCTGGTCCCTTGACCGCTTTCCTGCATGACGGCAGCCGTGTCGCGTTGTCTGGACGAGACCCGTCATCTTGAGAGGTGACGGTCGATCATTTTAAACCCAGTGCACGAACAAAATTCTGTCGCTTCAGTAAGAAATTGACAGCTACGTATCAGGGTCTCACCGACCGTTTTCTGTCACTGGGTTCGCTTGCGAATTGCGCATCGGGCCTAGCACGACTAAACAATCCGCTAGCACAAATGGCATGCATCCAGGCGAACCCAATAGCTTACCGAGTTACCTGGCCGGCTCCATCGAGAATTGGACGATAGACTAGGTTACTGTGGTTTCAGAAACCTCGCGAAGGGCTCAGATGGTCTCACAACGAACGTATCAATATCGGTTGTGACTGTGTTCCTGGGAGATCAATCTCAGACCCTGGTTCGGGAAGTAGGAATCCCGGTTGGGCGATAATCATCTCATTATAGTGCCATTTATGATCTTACCGACCATTGAGAAAAATCTGCAGGTGTTTTGGCAGCCAAGCGATTGGATGTAGGTACTGATAACCTCGTCAGGGAATGTCGGAAGTTCCCGCGTCTAGTATTCGGGTTTGCTGCAGGACGGGCGCCTATACTGCTCTGTCGCATTGATGCGTGGTGCATGCCATCGCATGTACGACTGCCCAGCTTTGCTTGAGGTGACGCACAGCTGTGCAATGCAATGTCCCAGCCCACTTGGTACTGTACCCTCCGGGCACATCCAGAGAGAATGGACTGGGCCCATCTCGTCACATATGAGAACCACTTTGAGGTCGGTCCCCTAGTTTTCTTATCTCCTATCTCTTATCTCTTATCGATCGTCCGCTCGCTATCGCTTTCAATTGCGTCATCCCGTGCCGCTTCCAAGTATTCGACTACCCTAGACAGGCGGCCGCAACCCTTTTGGCTTCAGATCAAATCTTCAGGCTCGCTTTTCTCAGTTTCCCAACCCCTTTCGGGTTAAATAGTCGGAGATTTGGGAAGGCGACATCGCAACCTAGTGGTCGTTTGTGTTGATAATTACCTGCCCGACTTGGGCTTCTCTCATGCCGCAGTGGGTGCGTGTGATGTAGGATGACGAATGGGCTTCCAACATCAGTGGGTGCCACTTGTGGTGGGCAAAGTGCGCTATATGACGAAGTAGTTTTGGGGAGTAGAAGCGACGTAGTGCATTCCTTAGGCAGGATTTGGTCGTGTTTGATGCACAGCCTGCCTCCGAGACTAAGGCTGGTGCTATGGCGAGGTTATTAAAGCCAGGCGTTGCCCCGAGCATTCGTCCCTGGCTAAACCAACAACACCAACAACACCAGCCTCCTCTGAACTCACCCCGCTATCCACATATCACACAGCAAGTAAATCCATACTTTTTGAGAACGGACAAGATGCCTACCTACATTGTATGTCGCGGTATACCACAGATCACGCTGCACCGTCTGGTATCATGAACTTACAGTCGTTTCGTTGCCTAGATCACCTGCAAGGAGAATGCTTCCGACGAGGAAGTCAAGTCGTACGTACCACAACGCTTGCCCCTTCCATCATTACCTTCGATGAGAGTGATGAGACTGACGACCGCCACAGGGCCAAGGACCACGCCATTAAGCAGGGCGGCACCATCGAGCACGAATACAAGATCATCAAGGGCTTCTCGTACGTAACCCCGCGCCCTCTTGACTCTATGGACGGGAGCTAACACACCGCGACAGAGTCAAGTTCCCCGACGGCGCCGTGACCACTCTGGATTCCCATCCCAGCATCAAGGCGGTCGAGGCAGACGGCGTTATGAAGATCCAGTGAGCAGTGTACGAGTAGGGGGACGGCGGCGCGCGCTGTCATGTGCATGAGGGCGCCGAAGACTTGCATGTAGAATCACATCACGGAAGGCCTTATCCCCACCGTGTACAGTGGCGGGAGCAGATATGACCACCAGTGTTAGAGCTTTCCTCCTCATCATGAATTCAATATGATATAATTTGTTTCCCAGTCAGCCTGATCCAGACTCTTTTGTTTTCCCATAGTTCGAACTCAATTCAGCCACGGCGGTTTGGCTAGCTTTTGTCCTCCAACCCCTCGCCTGGCCTTGCTCGTGCTGTGACGTAGCGACGGACCCCGCGATAAGAGACGCGGGATAAGCACCGTTCCCCTCCTTTGGCTTTCCGCTATCTCAGTTTAGCGTCCAGCGGCACAAGCTGGCTACAATCGGTAATAAGCCCCACTTACTAAGCAAACCGCCAATCTGGGGCCGAACGTCTCGCTTCGAAAGATAGTCACTTCTACTCGACTTATAGATCCGATCGGTGATGGACCCTCGGCTGTGATGCCACCCCATCTGTCAATGCTACCGATTTGGTCTTGATATTTCATACTTACCCTGTCCCATTCTAGCGAGTCTATCTTATTGCACACTGGGCGCAGCAATTGGCTGTTTCTCTCACCTTTGTCTTGCTGCCTTGGACATGAAGTAGCCGTCGCAATGAACCGCCTCGTTCAGCCCATGCGGCGGTGTCGCATCCCTTCCCTCGCCCATTATCCCACACGCCGGATAGCCCCAGCAATATGGAGATGCTCCTCATTCTCGACGGCTTCGCCTACATCAGAAACAGGGTACAATGTGACAGATGCCGACATATTGGCATTGTCCAAGCTGCGCCAACACTCTTTAAGCCTTGCTGATCTCGTCAAGTACTGCTTTCTCAAATACGATACATATTCATATCCAATGCTAATAGACCTCTCTTTACAACGTTAGACACGGCCGTCCTCCTCTTTCCGAGAAGTCACTTCTTTCTTCCGCCAACTTCACCCTCTCTCTACTACCGATCCGCCTCGCCCACCGACTACAAGCCCTCCGCAACCTCCCATACATTGTCGTATCGAACCCCAACATCTCTCGTATATACAGCACCTACCTCAACTCCCTTTCCATCCTCCTTCCATACTGGCGAGCGGCAGCCGAGGGCCGCCCGATCAACTCCCTGGAAGAGGAGATCCGCTTCACCAACACCCTCGCCGAGCTCGTCGCCATGCACACCGACACCATCCCCATCCTCGCCCGCGGCTTCCTCGAGTGCCGGAGGTACATCTCCCCCGCCCAGGTCACCACCTTCCTCGACGAGCACCTGCGCGCCCGCATCGGCACCCGCCTCGTCGCCGAGCAGCACATCGCCCTCCACTTCAGCAGCCAGCCTCACTTCGACCCGGAGGCCAGCCCGACCCCCTGCCCCGAGCACCCCTCCTTCATCGGCGTCATCGACACCGCCCTCAAGCCCGCCACCGTCGTCGACAGCTGCGCCGGCTTCGTCGCCGACATCTGCGAGCTCCGCTACGGCACCAGACCGCCCGTCATCATCGACGGCGAGCCCGACACCACCTTCGCCTCTGTCCCCATGCACCTCGAGTACATCGTCACCGAGATGCTCAAGAACGCCTTCCGCGCCACCGTCGAGAACAGGTCCAGGGAGCCCGTCGTTGTCACCATCGCCCCGGAGCCCCCGCAGCGCCTCAGCCAGGACGCCATCCCACACATCACGCCGCCAGAGAGCAACCGGGGCCAGTTCCGCGCCGAGGCCATCCTGCCCCTCGACGACAACGCGCCCGGTGTGACCATCCGTATCCGCGACCGCGGCGGCGGTATCCCCCCGCAGGTCGTCCCGGACATATGGTCCTACTCCTTCTCCACCTTCTCAGAGGACGACGAGTTCCCTGGCTCCAGCGGCTCGGACGGCCTCAGCGCCATCGCCAACGCCGGGTCCGGACTTAGTTCCATCGCTGGGCTGGGGTACGGGCTGCCGCTGAGCAGGGCTTACGCGGAATATTTTGGCGGCGGCATCGCCGTGCAGAGTCTCTACAGATGGGGAACGGATGTCTATTTACGATTGAAAGGCATTGGCCAGATTGACGGCTGAGCGTCCTAAAATGATGATAGTTTAATGTTGATTATGCAACCGGGCAGTCTTGGGAATAACCCGTGACATGTTCTGACGTAAAGAAATTAAGTGATATACAATGCACGACCGATTGCTGCGAGGCAACCAGGTCCTTGCGTATGCGGAGATAGTTATCAGAGAAGACTATCAAGATCTAATCCAGAAAATCGATAGATCCAGCCTATGCTCTATCGCAGGCTTGCTCGCAGTAGAGGCTGGATCTATCAATTTTCTGGATTAGATCTTGATAGTCTTCGCTGATAACCATCTCTGTATACGCAAGGACCTGGTTGGTTGCAGCAACCAGGCCCCGTCTGTAGGGGATAATACTATCGGATATATCCATCGCTGTTTATAGTGTTTGCTTGCTTGTTTGCTTGCTTGTGCGTTTGCTTGGAAAGGTGTTGTTGTTTGTAGATGATGAGCGTCCCCCCTTGGGGCCTATGGCCAAGTTATATACTTGGCAAGGGCTTCTTTGAGTTTTTGATGAAGCTGTTGCCTTGCTGTGGCTTGTGTAGATAGAAAAGTCAAAAAATAGAGTTAAAGCTTGGGTACGGACCGAAGATAAGTAAAAACAAGTTGTGTGGATCTAGTTACGTGTGGCCTGATCTCGGGATATCCCCCTTGTATATGGCAATAACTATAAAATATATGTATAATGCACAGCGTGTCAAGATTCATGAGATACGGGCGAATGGATTTTATCTATTTTGGAACAAAGTATGCTAAGAAAACGAGGGATAGTTTTATTTGTGGTTATTAGGAAACTAGATAGTAGGAACCCATATATTATTACCAATCGCCAATGCGAAGAAGCGTCCACGCGACAGCAGCCTGGTCGACCTTGTCGCAGACAAATTGACCACCGGCGCATCATCTCACGCGACATTGTCAGAGTAGAACCAATAAGATGCAACAAGCCCCCAGGGAAAAAGAAAAAGAAAACGAGGTCGTCAAACCCATTCAATATGTTCAAAACACTTTTAACGCCGTCACCGTCAGTCTGATAATTTAATCCGCCCCATTATGCATCGTGGTGACATGATGAGCCTGTGATGGAGCCAGCCATTGCGCTTGCAAGATTACATCTTCTCAAGCTCACGGTCGATCTGTCGATCAAGGAATGTACGTCGTTCGCCGACGAGTTCAACCTGCAGACGCTGCTCGACAAGAGCCCGCAGCTGCTTCTTGGTCACGGAATCCAGATCAACCTCTCTTAATACTGCTTGGATGCACTCGACAATCATCCCATCGTCTGGGGCGCCAGTGCCACGCTGGAAGTCGAACGATGTGGTTGAGCGCATGGCATCAGGGACCATAGGCGAGCGACGGCCGAATGCTGAGGGTGCCCTGTTTGCTCCAACTCCCATTACTGACGGGGGCGTGTTGGACTGGCCGCGAAGGTTTGTCATGCTTGGATGGGCCGCAGGATAGTCTTGGTAAGGTGAGGCAGCACGGTTATAATCTTGAATACCTGTGCCGAGTGACAACATTGACTGTCGGTTCTGCATCAATGGTTGCTCCTGGTAAAGTCCCGTCATAGTTGAAGCACGGTTCACGGCACCACCGTACGGTGAAGGAGATTGAGGAGGGATGAATGTGTTGCGTTGCATGCCGGTCAAGACAGAACCCTGAGGACCAGCTGAGTAAACTGACTTCATCTCGTCCATCTCATAAGGGTCCCCTGACATATCCTGGGGATTGCCACGTCGTCCGGGGAGGCTGTTGGCAAGGGCGTAATCATCCCATCTCTGCAATGGGATGGATCTTGGGTCGAAATCTTCGTCTGTGACAATGACCAGTTTCTTGTCTCCCTTTTCTCCAATGACCACACGAGTGTTACCCCATGTGAAGTTATCCTGATTCCAGAAGGAATAGACTGGGAGCGCGAAAGAGTAAATAGGGAACGCGATGATGTAGATAATCATCCAGCCAATGTGCTGCCATTGCCTCTTCAGAATGAAGATGAGAGCTTGCAAACCGTAGACACCAGCCAACATAACAATACTGATCATTGGGAATTGACCTTGTTTGGTAGCGACACGATAGATGAGCCAGGCCAGGTAACCGCATGTTCCAGGAAGAATGACGGTACCGAAAAGATCGATGAAGACAACGAAGCGCATACCGAAACAGCAGAAACCACACATTTCGCTGAGTCTCATAAGCTCGACCATGTTGTGAATAGTTGAGTTGATCCAGCGACGACGTTGAGACAACAACACACTCCAAGAGTCTGGCGCAGCAGTCTTACATTTTGCGTCAGGGACAAACTTGAATTGCATGGAAGGGAAGTGCTTGGTCATAAGTGTGGTCAGATACCGATCCTCACCCAGGGACAGCAGATTCTTCTTGTGTAGTGTATCCACATCACAAACACTGTAGTCCCGGATAACCTTGTCTGAGATAATGAGTGGCTTGCCCTTGTCCACAGTACGGAGTCGATACATGGTGAAACTGTAAATATGAGTTAGCGATGGTCAAACATGTCATTGGGACAACTCGAGTCAAACTTACCAACCAGGCAAACAAGTAACGCTGCCAAAGAGAGACTCGAAAGCTTTAGCCAAGTGATGCGAAATGAAGTATTCATAAACTTGGATCATGGTCCACCAAGATTTCTCGTCGTTCTCAAGACTTGTCTCACCACAGATACCAGCAATCTTGGCGTTGTGAGCGCAGGCAGATACCAACCGGGTAAGCGACTCTTCTTGAACGGAAGTATCGGCATCAATCATGAGAAGATATTCGTAGAGCTCAGGGTCCACACCGATAACGTTGTTAATCTGATGGAACATTTCAAGCTCCAAGGGGTTCATGGGCGCACGGTGATGGACACGATTCAGGAAGCTCATCAACAGAATTTGAGAATCACGCTTTCCGCGGTTACCAGGTTTCGACTTGGCTTGCTCTGATTCTTTGCCCACCTTGACAACAACAAGGTAAGGGACGACATTGCCTTCGAATTCGTAGAGACCTGAGTAGACTTTGCCGTAGTTCAATTGCTCGCTACCTGGTCCAACGGATTTGAAAGGCAGTGCAGGAGGGTCGACCTTGGGATCAACGCCGAGAATATCGAGCACGATCTTAGGGGTTGGACGATCATTACCTGCTCCCACAATGACACCATCGCAGATGATACAGATAAGCTTCCTCTTATTATCGTATTGGAGTGCCGTCAACGAATCCAGTGCTTTTCGAAGGGACTCTTCGCCTTCTGTATAGGCTGGTACCTGACAAATGACAAACTTGTCTTGTGGGGAAGGACGCCGCTTGGAGCCGAATTGAAGGGCAGCTACGAATTTGATCAAGATGACCAGACAGAGTACCATTGTGAATGCGAATAGGATCCAGTTGTTAACTGTGCAACGCGGGTATTCTCGGAAATCGACTTTGCCCTTGTAGAAAACTTCCTGGATGCAGTTCCAACTGTTCATGATGTTGGCATACTCGGATTCGTTGTTCACGTTGTTTGTTATGACGAGGTCCAGGTCCTTGGTGATATCCCGACCAGGGTTATTCTTCCAAAGGTTCGAGACCTTCGTGTTCAGGAATTCGTAAATGGCAACATTTGGTTGCAGATCTTGGGTGTTGAAGTAATCTGTGAGATCGTATACTTCTTCACCGTATCTTGCCCACATGTGCTGGTCATTCTTGCCTTCGTCGTAGACCTTGTTTGCCGAGATAACCAATTCGCCCTTGTAGTATTCCTTCATAGTGACCAGGAAAGTATCCCAGTACCACCTTTCATTGTATAGCTTGCTCTTGATGTAGGGCGATGTCTTGCCAGAGGTGTGGACGGCAGTCGGGTTCTCTGGGGTGTTGTTGAGAGTCAGGACTGTGGTGTCGGCGATACCTAGACCTTGGCAAGCTTGGCTCAATGGTGGCATGAAGTATCCGTCCATGTCCAAGCCAGCCAGTGGTTCCATGTTATCCTTTGTGGTCTCGATGTTGATGTCACTGTGCTGTCTTCTCCAGAAATCAGAGATGTCATAGACACTGCCACGGACACTGACCCAAAAGTCGTCTTCTCCTTGGTGGGTGGCTACTTCCTTTGTATTCCAGGCTTTGTCTGAGTTGGGGCAGATAATGAGGCCGAAACCGATCATCCAGAAGAGAATGGTACCATTGATAAAGAAGATGAGGAAGAACAGAACCAACTTTTCGCGCCATGCCATACGGACGTCAGGTCGTTTCATGCGGCCAATGTATCGGAGTGCAGTCGACGGGATCCACCATGTCAGGCACCATACGAAGATAACCCATGCCCGACGAGAAGCAGTCGTTTCATTCGTCTTGACCTTCTTATTCTTTGCTAACTCGGGATCCATCATGCCGGTAAATTCACCGGCTTCGTTGAAGAAGATATCACCCTTGTATTCATCGCCCTTGGTGCCCAGACCGTAATCACCAATGGGTGCTTCGCGGTTGGAGGTAGGTGCAATGGACGGTGCAATGTTGTGCTGTTGAGCCATAGGCATGGGATGTTGACTCATTGTCATCTGGCTCAGGTTCCCTTGGCTCAAGTTGCGTTGATGGTTCATATGCGACACGTCAAGTCCGCTTTCTGTTGCGGGGGCGCCGGGAAAGTAGCCACTCCCGTTGGCAGAGTAGCTCGTGTCAAAGCCTGTGTTGAATGGATTTTCAGGTAGAGGCTGGTTACCGGGCTGCAGATCGAGCATGCTTTCAGCTTCCCACCAAGCGCTCTCGCGAATCCAAACGCGCTCCTTGCCGATGAATACTTCGCCATTGCTCCATCCTCTCTCAAGAAGCCAGCTTCCAATACCGTCTTTGCCATCCCCACAACCAAGGGCTGCGTATCGTTGAGCAAACTCATCAACGTCAAAGTCAGCAGTGAAGTCCAGGTTCCTGTTCCGCCTGTTTGCCCACTCTGGGAGCCTCCAGGAACGGAGTTGACGAGAAACCGTGCCTGCAGACCATGCAGATGTGATGGAGGGGAGAGCGGCAAGGCTGACCGGAGAGTCATCAGTTGGATGCATCGAGAGATGATACCAAACGCGGCTGGAAGAGATGATGTTGGGTAGATCAAAGCGGCCAGCACGACCCAGGTTGATTCCTTGGCCCTCGATAGGAAACAGGAGCTTTTTGATAAAAGCGTCCTCATCTGCTGCATACGCAACCTTTTCGAGGACTACTTCTCGTTTTTCCAAGTCGTATTGTCTTTGCCTGCCCTCTGGCCCGGTCATGATCCCCAGATCAGGGGCTACCGCCGATACGGCCTGTTCCATCTCTCTCAGAACAGACGCACCAGCAGGAGAGGCGGTGTGCCCATCTTGAATGATTTCGGCATTGATGCCTTGAGTATCGTCGAAGATGGACCGCATGCAGAGCGCTTTGCCGAGAGTAGGGTCAGGAACTTCAATGACTGTAATGGAAACAGTATCACCATTTTCCTGAATAGAGCTAGAGCTGGATGAGCTGCCAAGCGATTCTTCGCCCTCTTTGATGCGAGTAATTTGACTTGCAATAGCGTCGTTTGCCTTGGAAATTACCCAGTCTACGAGTGCTTCGTAGAGACCACCCACAAGGGTCTGGCGATCCTCGGTGCTGCATTGCCGGAACAGAACCTCGGGCTCCATGCCAAGGAGGCCCCCCACATCCTCACAGATCTCTTCAAGCAAATCCGAATCGCTGTTATAATCAAGCGTGTTACCAAGCTTGAGAAGACCGGCAAGAGTCGAGATGAAGTTACGATGAGCTGAGCCCTTGATTCCGATATCCTTGAGCGCCTGTCGGAAGTCATCGGCGGCAGCGGCGTCATCCGCTGTAGGAAGGTAGGACGGGGCGTCGTATGTGCCCGAGCGGGATAGCAAGGCATAACTGGATGCAGGCTGCAGTCCCAGAAATTCTCTCTCCGCAGGAGTGGAAGCAGAGGTGAGCAGGTAGTAAAACACATCAAATGCACGATATCCTGCCTCCGCGGGAATATTCAGTAATCCATTGGCGGTGTCAATCCCGCCCTTGGACAGAGACAGTGAGGCACCTGTGAAGTGGCCAGTAAGGGTGAGTGTCAGAGAAACACTTAGAGCTGCCTGTCTTGGCGATGAAGGATTGTGAGGTGTAACACATCGGACGAATGGTCGCACGGCCTCGAGCGCCTTGAAAACGTGGGAGGGAATAGCAAATGGGAAGTTGGACAGGAACGGCACCAGAACGGACGGGGCGGACTGATGAAGGGATCTGGTGGCTGTTAGTAAATCGAAGTATTTCATGTCCGCGAAGTCACATACCCTAGGACGATGCATCCATCTTCGGCACGGCGTCGAGCATGCTCCCAAGCTCGGGCAGCCAGAGTAGGATCAACTGTTGGACCAGCCTGAGCAGCAGTGAGCCATGTGTTTACAACCAAACTCGTGCTGGCCTCAAGGCTGTGTGGTTGGGAAGACAAGTAGATATTATGAACGGCATTTAGCAGCGTCGTAGTCGAGGTCTGGGCGGTTTGAGGGCCACCAGCTGATGGTGCGAACTGGTTGGTCGAGGCCACCGAGAACATTGACATTCGGTTCGACATGTTGGAAATGGATGACCGGGAGTGATGTCCTCGAGGGACTATCACCGAATGGAGGTCAGAATTAAGTTATAAGTCGAGGGTTCGATCGTTAAAACTGGCAATTATGATCGTTCTGGGCTCGAGGTATTCGGAAATCGCGTTTGAAGGTGGTGAGGACAATGGCAGACAGCGAAGGAAATGGTAGTCGTGGAGCAACTGAGACAGGTCCCTTTTTCCCCCTGGATTAAGTGAGGAAGGAAAAGCAAGAACGAAACAAAGACGTGCAGATAATTGAATAGGGAATTACGGTGCCAAAGCGAGTGAGGCACGATTGATGAAAACGAAGGGCAGAAGAGTTGAACAACGACAGCCGGAAGGATGGCGGTTCCAAAGGTTGGCTGAGAATGGGTCAACACAGGAGTGAAGGGGCCAGCGGGTGTTGCTCTCGAGGAGGACTGGGGCATTGCGCACTGTGCCACCAGCACAGATGCATCCGGGTGCGGCGGACTCTAGCGGTGATAAGCGCACAAATACAGGCACAACAGCACTAAGGCACGGTCCTTCACACGCGCTGGCTGTGGCAAAAACAAAAATATGGATGTTGTCAGGGGCTAGCCGAACCCACCCTCCACCCACCGTACCGTTGGCCCCGAACCCAATTCGGCTGATGTGCTGGAGCACGGTGCGTCTGTCTGTTGTTTTGCGCTATTCCCATGTCCCAGCCAGCTGAGACAAACAAGCTACCGGTGCTAGCCCTGTCAATGACGCTTCCCGTGCCTGTTCCCTGGTCGCCAGCGCCGGCTTTCCCCCTCACGATGCTCCAATGCAGTGACCATATTATATCATATTCTAGTATAAGGTTGCTGTAGGATGTGGGCTTGAGCGAGGGTGTAAATCTGGATCAGCTGTTACGTCTCCAGATAATAAGCGTCTATCAAGTTCCGAGGGGCGGGCTGTGCTTGGGAATACGAGACGGCGAAAAACCGTGACACGATTATTAAGCCGCGTTGCTCTTAGGCTGGAGCCAGGTGCCAAGCGTGTTAATGGGCGAGACAGGCAGGACGGACAACGCGGGCAGGCAGGTCACTGCAGGGAGCCCCCCAAAATTTCCACGTCCAGCGTGTGTGTCGTGGATGCCGAAGACACATTCTTCTAAGCTTCAGGTGAATCCACCAGTCCAGGGAAGCAAACAAATTGGAGTGGATGCTAATGAAAGTTGAGACACTGAATGCGTGAAGAGGTCAACCACAGTGCCGTTCTGACTGGCCTGTGAAACGGCTCTGTCATCCGGGCGTTCCCTCACCTCTCGCCTCTCGCCCGGGCTGCTGTGCTCGTTCATCAGCAGATGGATTTGATGTGGTTGTGCTGATCGCTGATGGTGATCCTCGTATGGCGGCCGGCAACCACCTGGGCCATAATAAAATAGTGCCCCGGTGAATTAATGTACCAGTGTACCCTTAGTGTGCGCTGGCGTGCAGCTGGACAGCCCACTTGATGAGAAAATAGAAACACCAGGAAAAAGGGGGACTCCCGTTCCCCGCCTAAAAAATGAGAAGGGAGCCCAAGGACTGACGAAATGACCGGAAGCCAAGCATCACAAAGCGCGATCTGAGCGTTCTCGAATCGGCGGCGCTAGACTGCAAGCGGGTTGGTGCTCATAGGTAGAACCCACCCTCACGAGATGATCATATTTATCGCTAGCAGCTGGTTGGGGGCGTGCTGAGGGCCTTGCATTGGCAATTTTTTCGCTGGGTGCGAGTAGATGGGCGAATGGGCCAGGAGGTAAATGTGGTAGAGAGGCAGAACGTCAATGTGTCTCTTGGGCTTGGGGCCTGGCACAGTGAGGCACCACAGTACAATTTGCTTCCAAATTCTTTCCAGCTGGACGCTATTTGCTACAGCCGCGATGTGGCAGCTTACATGGGAATCCGGCTACACTTAGAAAAGTCTCCGTCTATACGATGCATCTCGTGCTAAGCAAGAATCACTTAAAAATAAAACGTCTAGAAATATCGTCGGCGTTCCCTACTGCTCCCCTCATGCCGAAACGTCGTGTGAGGGCAATACGAGCTCAGCAGGGCTGTGGTCAACCCAAGACCCCAGAGGCACAGTGCGCATGTGAAGTTATTGGCACAAGCACCGCCTTCCTCGGAATGCGGTCGCGCGCCTTCCACCTTCGTTTGTGCGCTTTTCTCCCCTCGGTGCCGCCGCAGTACGAGGCGCTTCTGCATTTCGTGTTGACCAGCGCCAACCCCGTACTGTGCGAATAGCTGGAAGAAAACAAACCGTCCCCCCATCCCTGACTGGGCATTGACATCTGGCCTTGGAACATCCTCCCAAACCTTCTACCCGCCGTTACCTTGCTTTTATCGACTTCGTTTCTGGCACAATTTTTGCTGACCTCAATCACTCGCTTCTTGTATGGGATCATTCGTTATTCCCTCTAATATTTTCTTCTTGTTTTGAACTATATACGAATCCCTCTTAATTCCTATACCAAGACCCGTCTACCTTTTTTCTTAATTCCTCAGCTCCGTGACCGTTGAGCCTCTCGAACCCGACGTTACGAATTAAGTTGCCACACCGTTGGCTGGAATATTCACTTTGTAGCGTGCTATTCCGCTCTACGGAGCCATCCCAACCATGGCCCTGAATCTCCCATCCGTGGGAGCCTCGGGGAATGGCAGCGGCGCACACAACCAACCCTCGCTTCCGTCGCTGCCTGCCCATCTCCAGTCCGACACTCACCTCACGGCTCATCTCGCCAGTCGATTTCATGCGGCTCATCCTACCGCTCGTCTGTCTTCACATGCTCTTATTTCATTGAATACGTACACCTCCTCCACCAAAGGACCCGAAGGAGGCAAGGATGGCAGTGCTATGGGAGGTGCTGAGGAGCTGGCCGACCGTGCTTGGTTAAGGCTTGGCCATCGCTCGGAGAGTCAAGCGATTGTCTTCTTGTGAGCATCATTCTTTCCATCTCCATCACCTTTTGGTGTGTTTGGGACTAACGTGTATAGGGGTGAATCCGGATCCGGAAAGTCTACGATTCGATCACATTTGCTCACAGCCCTCCTCAACAAGTCCTCAACACCGTTGTCGACGAAGCTTTCGCTCGCCACCTACATTTTTGATACGCTGACGACCACCAAGACTGCCACGACCCCAACTGCCTCTAAGTCCGGTCTATTCTATGAACTTCAGTATGATACGACAGCCACAACAAACCCCGTTCTTATTGGTGGTAAGCTTCTGGATCACCGATTTGAGAGAAGCCGAATTACCGACGTACCAACTGGTGAACGAAACTTTCATGTGTTGTACTACTTGCTGGCTGGAACAAGCGAAGCTGAGAAAGAGCATCTTGGGTTGAGCTCCATCAACGCGGGCGCAAACAAGGCCCAGCGTTGGAAGTACCTCGGACACCCTACCCAACTCAAGGTCGGCATTAATGATGCCGAAGGCTTCCAGGTGTTCAAGAATGCCTTGAGGAAACTCGAATTTCCTCGTAGCGAGATCGCAGAAATATGCCAGATGCTTGCAGTCATCCTCCACATCGGTCAGCTGGAATTTGCTACTACTAGTGATACCAGTGCGGTTGCCGGTGACAGTGGTGGTTTCTCCCACGAAGGTGCCAATACCTTCACTGGTGTCAAGAATAAGGAGGCCCTCACTATAATTGCTGCTTTCCTGGGTGTTAATGCCATGGATTTGCAGAGGACCCTCGGATACAAGAGCAAGATGATTCACAAGGAGCGAGTTACAGTCATGCTTGATCCAAACGGAGCCCGCTCTCATGCAAACGAGCTTGCACGGACTCTATACTCTCTGCTTGTTGCATGGATTATGGAAAATGTGAACCAGCGAGTTTGTGTTCCGGATGAAACAATTGCCAACACAATCTCCATTGTTGATTTTCCAGGATTTGCCCAGCAGTCTCCCACTGGGTCAACTCTTGACCAACTTCTCAACAATGCTGGAACAGAGGCTGTTTACAACATGTCTCTCCATTACTTCTTCGACCGCAAGGCTGACATGCTTGAATCCGAAGAAGTCAGTGTCCCTCCTACAAGCTACTTTGACAACACAGACGCAGTTAAAGGTCTTCTGAAGCCCGGTAATGGACTTTTGAGCATTCTGGATGATCAAACCCGCCGAAACCGAACTGATATGCAATTGTTGGAGAGTTTGAGGAAGCGGTTTGAGGGAAAGAACCCTGCCATTGAAGTATCCTCGGCCACTTCCAAGCTGCCTGGAAGCAATTTCCTGACTGAAAACACCACCGCTGCATTCACCGTCAGGCATTTCGCAGGTGAAGTCACGTACCCAGTAAAGGGACTGATTGAGGAAAATGGCGAAGTTATCTCTGGTGACATTCTTAACATGGTCAAGACAAGCAAGAATGACTTTGTTGCCAAGCTCTTCGGACAGGAAATCCTCAAGACAGTTACTCACCCCAACGAAAAGAGCACCATTATGCAGGCAACCGTCAGCTCTAAGCCTACGCGTGCACCCAGCGTCGTTTCTCGCAAGACACAGCGAAGCAAGGCCCCAGCAGCATACCGACGAAAACAAATGAAGGCTATGGATCCCTTTGAGCAGGGAAGCGAGATTGGCGATTCACAAGCTGGATCTATGAAGACGGGCACCGAGCAGGGTGCTTCAGGGCAGTATTTGTCATCGCTGGACAATGTCCAGAAGGTGCTTGCTGACCCCAACACCAATTCATACTTCGTGTTCTGCTTGAAGCCCAATGACCGTCGTATGGCGAACCAGTTTGACAGCAAGTGTGTCCGAACCCAGATGCAGACTTTTGGCATTGCGGAAATCAGCCAGCGTCTTCGTACTGCCGATTTCAGTATCTTCATGCCTTTTGGTGAATTCTTGGGGTTGACAGAGGCCGAAGCTATGCTTGTTGGCAGCGAAAGGGAGCGAGTCGAGATCACCATCGAGGAGAAGCGGTGGCCATCCAATGAAGTATTCATTGGCTCAACTGGTATCTTCCTCAGCGAACGATGCTG